GTACACAGGTAAACTATTATGCAATAATAAACTGTGAGTACATTAAACAAACAACTCAAGATATTCATACCTCCACAGACAACTGCATGTTGAAGTGGATTTGAAGATGACTTATTCATTTGACCAGTTTGGCTGGCTTAAACATGCTGGTCAAGCAGAAAATTGCTGGTAATTGCTGTAACACTTGTTGCACTGCTGCAGCTCAGGTAATGTGTCACCTCTCTGAATCCTTATATGTCTCTACAAGAGATGAAGCCACACACAATTATCTTGATGACAAATGGGATTAAAATAACTAAACTACAAGGTAATATTAACACACAAACAATGCATATAACAGAGGGAATTAAAGCAAACTATTTAATATTTATAAATAATAAACATCTTCAAAACTTCACCGCAAGGCCCATTTACAGCATGCATCCGAAAATTAATCGAAACATCCACAGAAAAAAGTTATTTACTATAAAGTATGACAACAAATTCAAGCTTCAATATAAGATAATAAAGCCAAGCACACATTAAGTACTTAGCAGATAAATGCTTAACGTAATATATACGATAATTATTAAACACATGATAGCAAAAACATTACAGACTACTCACCGTGCTCTCTCGTTGTCAATAACTCTGCCCCTCACTTCCGGTTCTGAAACTGCTGGTGCTGCGGGGTCTGCAGCTGGATATATCTTATGTAACTAGTTTTTTAGTTTTGTAATATTTGTATATTTATCTATACTGTTTACACTAACATACAAAAGTTTAGGGTCGGTAAGATTTTTCAAGGTTTTTAAAGAAGTCCCTTATGCTCACCAAGACTGTACTTATGGATCAAAAATACAGTGAAAACAGTAATATTATAACATATTATTGTAATTCAAAATAACAGTTTCTACTTTAATATATGAAAAAAATTAATATATATAAAAAATATATATATATTTCTGTGATGAATTTTCAGTCATTACTCCAGTCTTTAGTATCACATGATCTTTCAGAATTAATTCCAAATATACAATATGATTTGCTGCTCAAGAAACATTTAATATCAATATTGAAAACAGTTCTTTCATTTATTTCAAAATAGAAACATTTTGTAACATTATAAATGCCACTTTTGTTAACTTTAATGCATCCTGGCTGAATAAAAGTATACTGTACATTAAAAAAATAACCCTAATGACCCCAAATTGTAGTGTACATGTTATGTTTCTATGAATTTTTTTCCTTCTCGGTCTGAGCTGAGGTAGAAGAGACATTTGGGGCAAGTGATTTATTTAGCCCACGTGTGTTCCTCTTTTCCTGGTGTGTGCATGCACTATCACAGAGATGCATCACCTGCTTCCATGGCTGCTGTGTTTCAGCTCTCCATCCTATTGCTATTGCTATAAACGCCTCTATTTCTGTGGCAGTGTGGTGAATCATTCTAGCAGGTTATGAGGGGAGGGCTGCAAGACTGAGCAGTTGTCAAGAACACCTCTTCTTGGAGGAGAATATATTTAGAAAGTAGTGACGTTGTCAAGGAGCTGTGTGTGAAGTGGGAATCACAGTTATGATGATTTCTGTTTCCATGGAATGTTTTCTCATAAACTCTCATAAACATGTCTGGCAGCCCTCAAGGGCAGCCATCCCATAGGAAAGAAAAATGACTAATGAGATCTCCGTAATAACTCAGTTGTTTCTTATAGATGTGAGTGAGATCCAATGGAAATGAAAAAGAAAACCTAATTATCTGAGCTCTGCTGTTCAGTTTCATTTGATTGATTTAGACAGACTGTGAGTTAACAATGGTCTGTTTGTTTTGTTTAGGGAATGTTAGACCAGAACATTTGAAAACATCAAGTCATGAACTAGCAGCCTGTGAGAAATACAGTATTTACTGTTAACAGCTACAGCTACGCTTGACCAAGGTGTTTGAAGGCAAATCGTCTTGAGTAAGCAAGTCTTGTCACATGTCAGCAGTATGTCGGGATCAGTCTTTTTCACCTGGACAGCTGTCCATCATCAAAAAGACTTGCTGACAGCGACGACACGTCCTGACAGCAGCTGTACTAGTGCTTCATCTGTGGGAGGTGAAGCTGACCACTGATAATACGCACATCCTCTCATTTATTTATAGTAAGGTACCATACTGAACATGTGATCGTCCTCCTCATCAAGCTGACTTTGTGGTTACCGTTCTCACTAATGTCCTTATTTTTCAGGTGAAGAAGTTTGCCAAGTACCTGGATCCCAATGCTCATGGCAGAATTAACTTCAAAGATTTCTGTCATGGAGTGTTTGCAATCAAAGGTAAGAGGACGGTTCTCCTCCAAGCAGTATTTCATGCCCATAAATACCACTGATGAATCTGTTTGCATTAGATGAAAGGGATTCTAAAAACATCAGGGTAAAAATCTCTGAAATATGACTGCAAAAATACAGTTTAAAAAAACGTGTAGCTACACTACAAAAATATTGTCATATTATTATGTAAAAAAGAGATTTTTTTTATCAAAAATGTATTTTATTGAAAATTAGGGATGTAACGATTAGGGATATGCCGGTATCAAATTTTCATGTTGCGATTAATTGCTAATGCTTTTATCACGGTATACGGTATTATCGCGGTGTTGGAATTTAGTTTTAAAAAAGTGCTGTCATAATACAGTATAACAGGTTTAATAACTTTTTTCTTATAACAAAAATAACTGAACATTTAAATGCAATAAAGCAATACAGAAAAATGTATAAAGCTAAAAGTTTTACACAGATTAAAGTGCAAAAGAACTATAAAGACCAATCATTTTGGAAAAAAAAAAAAAAAATCAAAATCGCGAATCGAATCGTGAGTTGAGTGAATCGTTACATCCCTATTGAAAATCAAATTTATTGTGTATACCTTACCTCAGGTTTCACAAACTCCAGAGATAAAAGCTTAGTTGCTAGACACCATGTTCCTTTCGACAGACATGATGTCCCTGAATTAAAAAGAGCATGTCGTGCATCATTCCAGACATTTATGCAATTTTATCTCCAGGCTAGTATTATCACTTTATTTTATTAAACAATTCATCAGAAGAACCCAAAGGCAGATAATGGCACACAGCTCTGTCTTTTTAGCATTCTGCATTGACTTCTGTGTCTGGTGAAAATCTAGAAATGGAATGGATAATGAATAGCCTGAGTGAGCAGAATCTGATTAGAGATCTCTTCTTCACCGCTGATCTCCCTAATTGAAAATAAACACATTTGAACAACAAATTACGAGCATCTCTGGGTGTGCCTTTAATTAACCGTTTATCCGATTGAAACATTTTCCCATTTAACGACAGCATAGTAATTCACATGTTAGCCTGGGTTGTGCTTCTCAGTTAAAAGACGAGGGGATGTTATTCCTGATTATAGTGTCAAGCATCACTGTGAGATTTTCTTAGGTATTCACAGACAATGTTACTGCGTAATCATGGTTCAGCAATCTAATTTCACATTATTTGTAGCTGTTTTATGACACTTATTGCCTTGTCTAGCTCGTCCCTATTTCACTGTCATTAAGAGTGCAGTAAACAGGGTTACATTTGTCAGCCAGGGACACTCACGTTGCTTGGCAGACTTATGCAGCAGAGATCTGCCAGCAGGCACGGGGACCCGGGTGGGACGTCTCTGTGCCAGCGCTCTATGGAAGCGGCTGAAGAGGGAGACACAGGCAGGCCAAATGGGCTCCAGGCCCAGAGACTTTGTCCCCCAGTGTCCTGTGTTTAATGAGCCCCAGTGGTCTTCCCACTCACTCTTTCCCTAATGAATCCCCCAATCCCTGATCCCCGGCACGCACAGCAAGTCTACAAAGCCAAAGCCTATGTGTGTCCTTTTGAGGTCCCAGAGGAGACTGCGTTGTTGTGTGTGGTGTGGGATTGTTAGCACACTTTCTCCATTGGTTTATCTTTGCTCTTCTATAACAGGCGTATTGTGCACAGCTTTATATATTTATGTATTGCCCACAATATGTTCCCATTTGGGACATTCCCGGAGCCAAGGCGAGCTGTGGCCCACTTGAGATGTCAATAGTAAGGTACCATACTGAACATGTGATCGTCCTCCTCATCAAGCTGACTTTGTGGTTACCGTTCTCACTAATGTCCTTATTTTTCAGGTGAAGAAGTTTGCCAAGTACCTGGATCCCAATGCTCATGGCAGAATTAACTTCAAAGATTTCTGTCATGGAGTGTTTGCAATCAAAGGTAAGAGGACGGTTCTCCTCCAAGCAGTATTTCATGCCCATAAATACCACTGATGAATCTGTTTGCATTAGATGAAAGGGATTCTAAAAACATCAGGGTAAAAATCTCTGAAATATGACTGCAAAAATACAGTTTAAAAAAACGTGTAGCTACACTACAAAAATATTGTCATATTATTATGTAAAAAAGAGATTTTTTTTATCAAAAATGTATTTTATTGAAAATTAGGGATGTAACGATTAGGGATATGCCGGTATCAAATTTTCATGATCATTAACCACCATCAGAAAACCATGAATGTGCAAATGTGTTTTTAAATATTAAAATATTAACCTAAAATCTTTGGGTGTACCTCAAATAAATATTTTGGTTTGGCTGTCGAAAAGGTTTGGGAATCCCCTGCCTTACCCCATTAAAAAATGTATTATTGTTATTATTATTATTATTATTATTATTATTATTAGGTTAAGAAAATTAACTTGCATAATGCATAGTTATTGCTAAGTTTACTTAAAAAGTATGCAAATTTGCTTATCAAGTGAATGCATCTTATTTTAGCAGGACAAAAATACTGATTATGAATATTATTTTTATATATACTATAACTTCCTTTTAAGCCCTAAATGTTCATTCTGTGGCATCAAACACAGAGCACATCTCTTCTGTTCTGTCACACACACACAGCCGTTAAGTTCAGCACAAAGTGTGCCAAACTGAAAGATTCTCCAGAGATAAAAGCTTAGTTGCTAGACACCATGTTCCTTTCGACAGACATGATGTCCCTGAATTAAAAAGAGCATGTCGTGCATCATTCCAGACATTTATGCAATTTTATCTCCAGGCTAGTATTATCACTTTATTTTATTAAACAATTCATCAGAAGAACCCAAAGGCAGATAATGGCACACAGCTCTGTCTTTTTAGCATTCTGCATTGACTTCTGTGTCTGGTGAAAATCTAGAAATGGAATGGATAATGAATAGCCTGAGTGAGCAGAATCTGATTAGAGATCTCTGCTTCACCAATGAACACTCTTGATCTGCTTAATTAAAAATAACCACATTTGAACAACAAATTACAAGCATCTCTGGGTGTGCTTTTAATCAACCATTTATCAGATTGAAACATTTTCTCATATAACGACAGCATAGTAGTAATTCACTTGTTAGCGTGGGTTGTGCTTCTCAGTTAAAAGACGGGGGGATGTGATTCCTGATTATAGCGTCAAGCATCACTTTGGGATTATTTTAGGGATTCACAGACATTTAAAGTTACTGTGTAATCATGGTTCAGCAATCTAATTTCACATTATTTGTAGCTGTTTTATGACACTTATTGCCTTGTCTAGCTCGTCCCTATTTCACTGTCATTAAGAGTGCAGTAAACAGGGTTACATTTGTCAGCCAGGGACACTCACGTTG